AGATGAGGTCTCGCCTGCTCAGGCGGGTCTCGAACCCACGGGCTCAGGCAATCCACTCACCTCGGCCTCCCAAAGGCATGGGATTACAGGCTGAGCCACTGAGCCCAGCTAAGCCAGAGCACTCTTAATGCTCTGCTAGGCATTAACCCTTTGCTTGATCACAATCATATGGAAGTTCTTGGGAGAGGGACAGAGGACACTCTTGAAGGGTTCAGGGTAGCAACTAGTTTGGGAGTATTTCAATATTTTAGGTCTATCAGCTGACTATCCACTCTGTTTCCATGTACTTCTGCTTCCTTAAACGTGGTAGAGTGAGAGAGCTGGGCCAAGGGTCAGACTGGCCACTGACAACACACCCTTTGTTGGGCTTCTACCTTCTACAAAGGACTCCATACAACTCAGGTGGTATGGGGCTCCCCATGGAAGCCCTCCTCCATTAGCAAGTGGGAGGGCAGGAAAGAAGGGTACAAAGAGGTCTCAGGCTGTACTTCCTGTCTAAATCTCTTTCATGGTGGGTCAACTCTGCCATTTCCCTTCAAGTCTATGGCCTCTAACATCTTCGTCCCCTGCCGTCCCCCCTCCTCTGAAGGATATCTTCTGAGTTTCATTGAGATCTATGTATAATGATTTGTTTTACATGCACATCTTACTTCATCCTCACGACTCATGATAACAAGTGATGAGAAAACTCAGAAAGGTCAGATCAAGTGCCCGGTGAATGGCAGGGAAGGAACTCCAACCCAATACGGCCCAATTCCAGAGTTCATGGGCAGAACCGTGACACCGACACATGTAAATAATTGACCTGACTGATAGGTTTCACAATGACTCAGCTACAGAGCCTGGACTCATTCCTATTTCTACCAACAGGTAGACCTGACCTATGCTCTGATTGGATTTGTGCCTAGGGAGCAATGGATCTTACCCAAAGACTTGAACACGGTGGTCTTCTCACAGTGGGCTGGCTTCACTCCCTTAATCACTTCTCCCAGCTCAGCAAAGATCTCTGCCTGTGAAACACACACATTGGCCCAGACATGGAGCTAAAGTCTATGCAGGGTTGCCTTCTGAAGCCAGCACAGGGTGTCCCTGAGCTGGATAGGAGATAAACCTTGATAAAAAGACCATTTATAAACTGGATGATATCAGAGAGGATGCTGCCCCCAAAATCCTTTTTGGGTAGCATTTGCCTTTGTGATACCACAGATGCAGAGATCCAAGTTTGTACTCAGGATGCTGTTCGGCCAGGTCACTGTGTCAGTAAGGAACTAGGCATACTGTCATCTGAACACGCATTCTGGCAGCTCCCTCCTTGCATCAATGCTCTGATTACAACAGAAGAAGCAGTCCAGAAGGTGACCAACCATGGTCCTATTGTACTGGCCACAGTGAGAAGGTTTCCAGGCTGCAACAGGTTCCCATTTCCCAATCCTACTGCCTTACACTGCCTTACAATGAAAAAATCCATTAAGCTTCACCCTCTAGGCAGAGGGGACAGAAAAACACATGTCACCACGATAATGCCCACATTATTCTGGAATGGGATTAAAAGGGACTGCAAGATGTTTAGGATAGCCTTCCCCATAAGGAAGTGGAGTGACTGAAGGCCTCAGCAGGCCAAACTGGAGGAAAAGTTAATGAAACCCTGGAGTCCAGATGAGGCCTGCCAGGTGGCCACCCCGACACAGTGAGAGGAAGCTCACCCCTGACAACAGGACATCTCCAGACTCCTTCAGGGCAGCCTCCTGGGAATCCACGTACAGCACAGCTTGCTTCATGAGCTCGTCATCCAGTTCTCTCCAGTCAGGTCTGCTGGCTCCAACGGCTAAGATACAGCAAAACAGACCCTAAGCCCAGAAATAGTCCCAAGGGACACCCAAAGGGCATAGAAGAGTGGTCAACAAAGGACACATGGGCCATGGGTGGATCTTCAGATTCAGGACATCTCCTCATTCCCCAGGTCATTAATGCTTAACATTTTTTCTCCCCTTTCATTTCATATTCCACCTCATTCCTAAAAGATTTTGAGGTAACTTAGCATTCATTTATTTTATGTCTACTATCTTTAGGATGTTTTTCACATGCTATTTATGGTCCTCACAAGTACACTTCAATGTCTGATTCCCATTTAACAGATGCACAAATTGAGGCTCAGAGAAGTGAAGGTGCTTGCCTAGGTTACATAGCTGGTAAGTGAATGAACATCTGAGAGAGCACTATAGCTTACATGCCTCCTCTGCTTATGAAGAACAAAAAACTTCCTCACAAAAACTCTCAAACAGAAATACCACTTGGAGCTTATTACACTCTAAACTCCTTACCTTCTGTCTGTCCCATTCCTCAGCCCTAACCACTTTTTAAATTCATGACAAAAGAGCCAAGTGTCAGGGTCATGGAGAGCCCCCTCCCTGCTGGCTCCATCCTGGCTCTGAGCTTTCACACCCTCTGCAGAGCCCAGGACCAGAATGATAAATCCAAGACATCCTGACCCTGGGATACAGGATAATGCAGTGGTTGCAACCAAATGCCTGCAGGGCCAGGCAGGTCACCAGAAAGAAGCAAAGCTGGTCAGAGGGACTGGATTAGAAACTGTGGAGGCGGGTGTGGTGGCTCAAGCCTATAATCCCAGCATTTTGGGAGGCTGAGGCAAGAGGAACGCTTGAGATCAAGGGTTCAATACCAGCCTGGGCAACTTGGTGAGTCCTCATCTCTACAATCAATCAAAAAATAAGCCGAGTGGGGTAACACACACCTGTAGTTCCAGCTACTTGGAAGGCTGAAGCGGAAGGATCGCCTGAGCCCAGTAGGTCGAGGCTGTGGTGGCTGTGAGCGTGCCACTGCACTCCAGCCTGAGTAACAAAGTGGAAACTCCGACTTGAAACAAAACAAAAAACAGTGGAGACGAAGGTACACTGAAGCAAGCAGGCCCTTCCAAAGGGGACAGTCATCGTTCAGCTCAGTTAATTGTTGCCATGTGTGAATGCAGGTCCACTGTTACCAGATACTCCCCAACCTCCTTTTATTAAGGAAAAAAAAAAAAGCAGGAAATCTATTTGCATGTATTACTCCTTGACTTTCAGGTCACTCTGTGGTCCAAACAAAACACATCTGTTGGCTGGATCCAGCCCATGGCCGGCTAGTCTTTGAAACTTCTGTAAAATCTTATATAAATATAAGGCAGCATTTATGTGCTTTCTTGCACTGCCGTCCAGTTTTCTCTACTTGCTTCCTCTCCTGCTGTTCTCCTTTGCTCTAATTTCCAAAGAGAGTGGTATAAAAATGTCCATCTTGACGTTGTTTGTGTGGGGAGCTCTATCGAACAAAAGCACTAGCTAATGAGGCTCGTAAATAAATCATAAGCCGGTGGGGAAGAAAAACCCCAGTTTCTCAGGCCACCCCTCTCACTGCACTATTCTTCCCAGACAGCTGCTGCTCAGGAGCAGGACGAATTCTCAAAGGGTCGTGTGAGGTCACTCAAACAGAGGGAAGTGGGCCAGCCGGTAAAAGGAGAAGCCTGACTCAGATGGGGCCCTGGCTAAATGAGTGAGGGTCGCAAGACTGGCTGGCATGCGGGGTATGGGGCAGGGGAGGGAAGCGTGGGGGAGGCTGGAATTGAGCATGCTGCTCCACTGAGCTGTAAACTAGTAAAATCTGTTGTTGATGTTTCCCTGTTGTTTGTGCTTGTAACACATTTTTCTTAAATGTTTTTGATGCCTCTGTAAACACATAAACCAGTTTTGCCTCTAGGCCAGGAAAATGTAAAAGATGCCTTGACTCAAAAATCAGTCAGCCCTTCCTGGAGAGAGATTCAAAGCATGAGAGGGATCCAGTGTTGGGAGATTCTCCACTTCTGACTTTGAGGATGAAGGATCCTCATGACAAGGAATGTGGGTTGACTCTGGGGCCCCAAGGGAACTGGGCTGTAAGGAGCTGAATTCTGCCATAACCATGGGAACCCAGAAGAGAGCCCTGAGCATAAGAGATGAAATTGCAGTGTCTTTTTTCCTCTCACCTTAAGCTAGATTTCATTCATCTATGAGTTTGCTTGTGGTCTACACCCCCACACTAGAATGTAACTACCAGGAAAACAGTGACTCTGAGTACGAGTTATTGCAGTATCCCCAGCATCTAGAACAGTACCTGGCACGCGGCCGAGAGTCAACAAATACTTATGATTGAAGGCATAATCACCTTACTTGCCTCTTGCCTGCTTATCTGCCCGTGTGTTCAGAGCTCTTGGCTCCTGAGTTCATGCCATGCGCTCGTCACTAAAACACGGGGCACTGATACTACCGTTGAATCTTCTAGAATGTGCCTCCTCTGCTCACCATAATCCAGTCTTCTTGTTGGAGGATAACACCGAGTTTTATTTAACAGTTTAAATTCTGAGGACAGATGGTCTCAGTTCAAATCCCAGTAGTGCCATTAAGAACCTCCGAATTTGGGAAAGTTACTTAATCTCTCCATGCTTTGGTTTATTGACCTGTAAAATGGGGGTCATGATAATACTAGCTCCTGTCTTATAAGGTGATTGTGCAGATTAGATGACATAATACATATAAAGACTTTGGGGCAGCACCTGCAATAGTAAGTATTAGATATAGATCAGAGCTTACTATAAAGAGCCATTTGAAGATCTTCAGAGGTCCCAGGCACCCTTGTTTAGGGGGCCCTAGCGCTCTCATCCTATTAAGTTTTATAATCTTGAGTGTTGTTAAGAACAAAGAATTCATTTGGCCTTTGTGATTTAAATTTCATCACCTTTAAGAATTGAGCTGGGATTGACCATTTGCCATAATGTTACATTTTATAGAACACCAATTAAATATGTATTAGTTTCAAAGTTTGCAATTTCCTACTCATAGTTTGGGGCTAATGTTGTTTTTTCAGGCTCACATGTTTCCAAGAGCCTTAGAATGTGTGTCATCTTGGGCATTCTGTATAGAGAGTAAACTGGCTCTGCAGATGCAGCCCCTTGGTCTAGTCTAGAGAAGAGTCTGGCTACCACCTACCCGTGTCTCCTGGAGCCACTATACTTACCATTGATATGAACCCCTGGCTTCACCCATTCACCAAACAAAATGGGCTCTGTTGCCAAGGTGACTGTAACGATGACATCTGCACCTGTCACAGCCTCCTGGACCGATGAACAGACCCGCACCTCTCCTTGCACTGTGTCCGCAAACTTCTCTGCATTTTCCCTGGTGCGGTTCCATATCCTAACCTTCATTGTGGGGGGTAATAAGAGGTACACTGGTGTCATTTTTTGGCCACTTATATTACACCAAGCCCAAGGATGCCAAGGGAAAGCTGAATCCCTCTGGAATAAGGGCTGTGGTTATCTAAATAATTCCTTAGGGGGAATGGACATTTGGTCAGGGGTACAGTATTCATCTGGACAGACACCTGCCAGGTATTTGAAAATGAGCTTTCTCTACCACTTCCCCTTTTAAAGAAGGGTGGAAGCTTTTCAGTTCTAGGCTGGGACACACAGCCTCAATAGCTTAATAGCATAATGATTAGCAGAGCAAGTTCTGGCACCAGGCAGGACTGCATTCAATCCTTACTCTGTCACTTAGTGAAATTATTCCACCTCATTCAACCTTAGTTTTCATGTCTGTAAAATGGGAATGATATCTCGGTAAAATCAATGTCAAACTCACACTTTATGTTTGAGATCCTGTAAAGGTGCTGTAGTGGGTGTGAGGTTCATAAAAAGGATTATTTATAGCAGTACTTTGCATGGAATAACTTAGTCTCTGAAGTGTATGTAGGGAACTAAAGACCAGAAGGGATTGAAGGTAAATAGTGCAGCTAACAAAAAGCCTAAGAGTAGCAGGGGCAACTAGAATCCTAGAAGTGTGGTCAGGGTGAAAGAGGGGTGGCACTGGCCTCACCAAGAGCTGAGGACTTAGTGGCTTGCTTAACAGGCTTCAGTGTTTGGGTCTGGGTTGTTAGCCTTCAACGGAAAATAAGGCCTACAGAATCTCTCATAAAGAAATACAACAAATATAAAAATAAACTTTATGTCTAAGAAAGTTCATCAACTAACATGAAAAACAAGGCATTTTACCAAGTCATAGAATGGTTAGCCATGTCACCCCCTTTCTTTTCTTTTTATTTCTTTTTTTTTTTTTTTTGAGTTGCAGTCTCACTCTGTCACCCAGACTGGAGTGCAGGAA